TAACCATGTTCCACTCTTTCCTTTCATTGCTATCTTGATTGTGTTTCAATATCAAGCATTGTATCCCATTTACACGCAATACTGCAGCCATCCACAGATCTATAGGGCCGGCTCTCCAATAATTAAAGTTACAGTTTACTACGGTGAGCTAATGTATTAGATCAATAATAAGATTTAAGTGCACCAGTCTCCTCCATTACAAAAGAAGGTCTTCCCAATATTGTTATAGTAGCAATGATAGAAATGGCATTCATTAACCCTCATTCATGGGTGCATTTAAGATCTTTCACTCACTTAAAAAATGTTAACATCCAAACAGTTGATACTTTTTCAAATATAAAAAACAAGAGAAACTTGATGAGTTTAGCACCCATTACAAACATCATATATAACAAACTGCAATTGACACATCAGAACACATTTATGGCAAATGCAATGAGATACAAGTGTAACAGACATGTAAAGAAGAGCAATTTACCTCACCCGCATCAGTAAGATAACCTCCCATAGCAGTGAACTCCGTTCTATAAATATGCATCAATAAATTAATAGCACCCTGAGGCAGTAAAAAGTTAATAGTAAATTAGAAAATACCCCAATAACTACAAGTTTTATACAAAAAACCTCAAAAGATCAACTTGAGGGAAAAAAAAAAACCTAATCTATACATATTTCATGCTTTAATTGATCATTAGCTGTGAAATTCCTTTGGTGGCCTTCTTCCATTACAAAGTCTGAGGTCTTTTTCTAAAGCATTGCGTTTGAAGTGTTTTTATCTAAAGTGCAAGTTATCAAGGGCTTGCATGTGAAAAGGCCACAACTTTATCCTTTCATCAAGTAAAAAAGAAAAGTGAACAACCAACAGAAGGAGCAGTGAACAATCATGTGTTTGATACGGTAAAAGTTAACAAATCTTAGACATTTTAATTTGACGAGAATGCAATAACTTAGTACCTAAACCCCTAAAATTGGCTGACTTCTGAAAATCAAAGCAACAGACTGCTAGCTATAATAACGTACCTCTCTGATCTCCAATGTTGGCATATGTGGAAGAAAGTCATTGCCAACAAAAAAGCACATAAAAACAAAATCATCCACTATCCTTTCAAAATTGAGCGGAAAAGGAGGGTTGGGAATATCCAGCTCATATTGCAAATATTCACGCAATACCCATATGTTGAGGAACTGCACAAACAAAATATAATTTAGGAATAATATCAGAATGATATCAAGAGGAACTCAAAAAGGGTAGCAAAGAGAAGCAGGATTCCAGTTCTTCAACCTGATATTTCTTCTGGTGAATTGGTGTATCATCAACCACGTTTCCATTATCATCAGATATACCACGACACTCAGCTGCCAGATGACCAACTTGTCCACAAAGAAAACATTTTTCTTGTTGACCTGGTAAAGTAATCACCTGTACAATTTTGGTAAACAATCTATAAGATCAACCACTTGTAATAAACAACTTAGAAAATATTCTGAAGAAAGAGCAACTACCTCTCTTAATATTGAGAAGTGAACCTCATGTGTAGCTAAAGCCAGCATAATTAGATCTGCATCCTGATTATGACGATCCAAATACCATTTTAGAACTAAGCAATGCAGCAAAGGAATACAAAATGGCTTCAAATTCAAAGAACATAAAACATGCATACACACACAGCAAAAAAAAAATTATTTACACAAACCTGATAATGATAACAGCAAATAAAAAACTCGCAAAAGGCCTAAATAATAAACACTCACCAAACCATAAAGACAATGTCGAGTGTTAGGATCAAAACCAGGGAGGTTGCGTTGCAATCGGATGTATGACATTATTTTGTGCTCTCCCTCGCCAGGAACATTTGCATCAGAAAGTATAACCTTCAAATAACCACCCAATGCAGCCCATAAATAAATTTAGAGAGACAAAGTACCCTGAAAACCAGAAGTACATGGTAAAAATATAGAGAATGGATTACTCCATAGACAGAGAACCATCTGATCTTGAAGGGACTGAGGAAGGCAATTGCAAATCAATACAGGCAATGATGTCAAACCAACCTTCGTAGACTGCCAACCAGGGTTGTGGTTTAACCTACTTTGTATGTAATATTGAAGTGCCACCGAGAGCACTGCCATAAATTGAGTGCCCGGGGTTATGACATTTGAGTCTGAAGTTTCAGGTTTCTCTTTAGGAGCCAAATATGTCCCCTCCATCTCAAATTCTTTCCTAAGTCTTTCCTCTTCAGCTTCCTAACATAACAGATTTAAGAAAGACAACAATAAGTTCACTGCCTCCCCGGATAGGAACTAATTATGCATAGTGAGTAAGATGTTACCGCTTCAGCCGCATCTTTTGAAGCTCTGTAACGTCGAGAACGTTGCTGATTCATTTTAGCTCTTGGAGCAACCCCATCTGCAAGATTAGAAATATATGAAGTACTAAATTCAGCGCACGAAAAACCATTATAGATAAACTACTTAACATGTCTAAAGTTAAATCTTACCAATTGCCAAAAAAAGAAGCTTTCTTGGGCGAACCAATGTGAATAGATGATCAATGTAATCAAATATTGATTTGAATACATCATCATAGGTAGCAGGGGCAGGCTGCACACACACACACAAAATTAACATGTCATCACAATACAACTTTAAGCAAAGGCATTTCATCATCGAGAGGTCAGTGAAAGCACATAATAACCTGGTAAATGCCCACATTTCAAACACCCACATAAACAACAAGATAACTTTTACCCAATCTAACAGTCCAAGTCAATATTAAGTCAACATATGAAAGATAAACAACGGAGTCACGTACTTCCCACAAGAAAAAGGCACTAAATTTAAGTATTGTCAAGCCACATAAACGCATATGCATATATATGTATATGTATATGTATATGTATATGTGTGTATATATATAGGGTTAAATCCAAGAATTATAACTGAAGACTAAATTTTTCCCCTCTTAAGACTACCAAAATCAATCATTTCGATCATCAAACGCAAACACGACAGAAATAACACGCAAACAATCAATCTGGAACTCAATTCTCACCGACTGCAACGAAAAGTACGGAAATTGTTGAAGCAACCCAAACAAACACCTCCCAAACCCATAGTTTTGAACAAAAAATTGCCATTAAACACATACTAAGCTAAATTCTACCTCTGAGAGCACCAAAGTCAACATTTTACAACATAACGAACGGAAATTGCAGAGGAAAAAGAGAGAGCGAACCTTCCCGTCGGGGTGAAAACAGGGATGTATAATGCCGTTCATGTCAAGGTACATGTTGTCGAACTCGAACCCATTAGGGTTTGGTCCGGAGACGTCGACTGGCACAGGGACGCCATTGGAGTCCTCTCTGGCATGCTCCTCCACGACGTCGGCGATGGACTGTGGGTACCGATCCGCTAGCCAGCGGTAAAACGCAGGAACGCCCATGAATCCGGTGTCGTTTGAGCGGAGCCGGAGATCGGACGGGACTAATTCATTCGGAGAGAGAGAGCGTGAGAAGGTTTTTGGAGATCTGTTTGTACGGGGCGTTCTGGTGGCTAGTAGGGGAAACAATGTTGGGACGAAAATGCCCTCACCGTGACTTTAGTATCGAAGAGTCAAAGAGGTGACGAATTGGGGGGTGTTTGGACGTAGGCAGGAGCGTTGTACTCGTTTCTTTTTGCTGAATTGAGGTGCTTGTGCTTTGGTCCTCTTGCACGTTATTTTTATGGAGAAATTTTTCTGTGTGACTTGACAACTATCACATAGTGTTATAATCCAATATATTGTTACCAAGTGTATTCGTTTATTATTAATGCATCAGAGATTGAGAAGTATCAACTTGGTTGTTTGCTCATTTTATATAGGCTTATTTATGCATGTACCTTTTGAAATTCAACATTCGTCTCATTTTGCTTCCTGAAATTCAAAATATCTCACTTAAACTCATTGAATGTGTAGGATATTTTGAATTTCAGGAGATAAAGTGAGCCGAATGTTGAATTTTAGGAGTACAAGTGTAAATAAGTCTATTATAAAAGCATGGATTAGCAAACAGGTACACTCATAAATTTCTAAGTTTCTTCACTTGCACTTCTATTATTTTCAAATTTTCAAATTTAATTAATCGAAAGAGAATTAAGAGCCATAAATAAATAAAGGTATACATAAATCGTTTCTTGTTATATTAATCTTGAGCAAGCATCTAAAAAATAAAATTTGGATAATGTTATTATTGTAACTATTCATGGATCGTTCTTGTTTCATAAAATGTTTGATTGTCAATCATTCCACATCGTACTATAGGCAAATATGTCGTGTCTTATTCTGTAAATTAAGTGTGTTCATAAAATTTTCACATATTAAATATAGAGTTCAACTCTCATCATGCACTCAATAAACAATTTCATATTAGTTACTTAAGTTGTTATTTGGACAGTATAATCGAACTTTTTAGAAAAAGTATTAACTATAACTTATATTTCAATTGAGAACCAAACAATGAAGATGATTAATTTGTGATATGAAAAGGTATTTGTAAACAGGAAAAATTTATCTCCGTTTGGTGAGAGTGTTTCTCTCTTTGTGAGAGTTTTCACACCACTGTGTTAGTGCTCTCTTTTCTTGTCTATCTCCTCCTTACCGCCGGCCCCAACTATGACTAGGGTTGGTGGCAGTCCTCTTCTCCTTCTTTTTCTTTTTCTTTTTTCCTTTTTCTTTTCTTCTCCTGCAGCTTCTTTTCCCCCCTATCTTTTGGTTCAATCCTCCCTTTCCTCCAACCTCTTTTGAATCTGCTTTTACTGTGCTCAGAGGTCTTGGTCCTTAAGAAATTAAAAGGATCATTGCCGGATCTTTTTCCTAGTGATCCTAGATATTCTATAATTGTATTTGTTCATCGTACATCGTGCGGTCAAAAATCATTTAAAATTTAAAATTCAAATATAAATAGTACCCAACGAAAACTAACCGGATCCTTTTCCCTTAAGAAAAGGACAAAAGCCGTGTAGCCATCTTAGCTCAGCTGGTAGACCGTAGAGTGCGTGGCTTTTAACCACGTGGTCGTCGGTTCGATTCCCACAGACGGCGGATTAAAATCTTTTAAAACTATATCGGGCTAACCCAAAGAGATTTTAAATTCTGGCCCATAATCTAACATGATTTGGGAGCCTAGTTCCTTTTGGGCTGGACCAGAAAAAAGCAGACATGAAGCCCATGTCTTGTATTCATCGCTGGCAATACCAACTGGCCCAACAGGTCCTGCTGTCGCCCACGTGTCATAAGTTTTTATAAGAGAAAATTGTAGCAATGAACCTCCAATTTTAATACTCAATTAAAAATCTATGATCACGGTCCCTTAACTACGTGTAGTTATGGTCTTTTTTTTTCAAATCCGTCAAAATTCTATCAAGAGGAATCATGTTGGAAGGACTATTGATACAATTGAGTTAAAGTTAAAAGACCATTGCTCCAATTAGATTAAAGTTGATGGACCATTACTCCAATGACATTAAAGTTGAATGATCATTGTTTCAATTTGGTTAAAATTAAGGGATCCTTGCTACGAGTAGTCCTACCACATGCATTATTGCGGTCTTATAGTATTCCGCCATGTAAGAAGTTCATCCACCGTCACCCTCTTTTCATGTGGAAAGTTTCAATGTGCAGGTAATACAGCTGGATACATCAAGCGTCATTAAACAATTGATTAAAAAAAAAAATTCAATTTTCTAACTAATTTTATTGTTATACTTAACATATCGCTCCGTGTGCCAGACATCTTAAAAAATCCCTCATTTTACTCCACCTCCCAACTTGACAAAGCCACCCATAACCCACCCCAACCTACCAGCGGATACTCACACAACTTGCCTTATCCAATAGGATAAACGACAAAATTGATATTCAATTTTTCCAAATCTATTTTTGTCTGTTAATGTTTTTTTCTTCTAAATTTGTTGCTTTCTTTGAAGGGTTTAATAATCAATGTTTGTCTCTGAATGTTTTTTTCTTTCTAAAGTTGATGCTTCCTTAGACGGGTTTAATAATTAAACTGGACGCTCAAAGATTTGTTTGATAAGTGCTTTTAAACAACCGAAACTTTTTTTTTTTTTAAATAAACTAATTCATTAGGAAAAAATAGAGGAAGGGTAACATTAGGCTAGGCATCATGATTAAAGTATAAAATAAAATATTATGATTAGAAATGTAACATGCTTTTACGAGTAAACATGCTTCTTCATTCATCGTTGTCACATGTGGGATATCCCCAATATTATCTTAACCAATTATTAACAAAGTGACATATAAATGTTGCATTTTATATTGGAAACGAATCATTTGTAGCTACTCGTGGCATACATGACCAAATTATTAAATGGGATATCCACAATATTCATGAAAATAATATGATAGTATTTTTTTTTATTGATAAAGAAATTCCACGCAAATGAGAGGACAAAATTGTTGAAATCTCACCTCAGTCATTTCTTTGAAAAAACAAGAGTTTAAATACTTTAACTTCACCCTAACACCGAGGCTTTTTAATAAAATCTCACGTGTGTCGGATTATGCAGGTGAATATTATTGTTATTGTTAAAATTGGGCATCTGGCCCCTTGAACACATTGATTATAAAAGAAAATACGAGCTCTTTTAAAATTGCTTTTAAAATGACTGAAAGCGTTTTTTGTGAAAATATTTTTAGAACCAATTTTTAATAAAAACGCAAGCAATCTTTAAAAAACGCTTCCAACCGAACTCTATATTACAAATTCACCAAATAATAAGAGAAAATAGAAAAAGAAAACGGCATTTCCAATTTAGCACCAGCAAAAACAATGTTTTTCTTTCTTTTTCTGGTCAATAAATCTGAAACTTTTTAACGTACCTTTTCTATTCCAACAAGAAAAGAAGAAGCCGGCGATGACAGTGAAATCCGAAAATTATTTTAAGGGAATTTCAACGAAACATTCCGGTCCTGTTTACTTTTAACGAAAAATCATATTTTTATCTTTCTCTAGTACTATTCACTACATCTTTATTTATCATTTTTCATTAGGCAATTATTATTAGCACTCCAAAAATCTTATTTGGCACTCTAAACATTCTATAATTAGAAAAAAAAATACACTTATGAAGAGTGTAGAATAAAATTTTTGGAATGCTAATAACAATTCTTTTTCATTAAAATTAATTTTTTTTTAACTTTTATTTTAATAAATCTGACAGACGAAGGCCAGCTGGAATTTCTTTAAATCTCCGCAAACTCTCTCTCCCTTTTGTCATTTGCTCTCGCAACCCCACGTATACTTTTCCTGCTGCTCGTCCTTTCTCATAGTCTCAGCCTTTTCAACCTGGTAAGCTCCTCTGTTCCATGTCCTTTCTGTCAAAGATTTCCTGAAGTGCTAAGCACTGTTACTGTTCTTGCATGATTTAATATGTTGAGCTTTTATTTAGTTTTCAATCGAAATACCCAATTTTGTTTTTCAGTTGATTGTTGTATCATGGTCATGGATTATGGAATTGGTTATTGGGATTTTTGGTTGTTTAATGTTAATCGTAACCTGCTTGGTTGCTGAGAAAATGGAGGAAAATGAAAAGGCTAAAACTTTGAAGTGTTAAGAAAAGATCAACTCACTTTCTCAGAATCTCAAGTGTTTAACTTTACAGTGAAAAATCATAAAAGATTGCACCTCTGTTATTTTTTAATTGAAAAATAAAACTTGGTTTTTTTTTCTTGTTGTTCCTTTGAAGCTGAATAAGATTTTGAATTCTATGTATTTGTTATGGTTGATGTCTTCAAACTCTTCATTTGTTTGAACAGATATCTGGTAAAAATGGTGGAGGAGAAGTCTGGGATTGCGAAAGACGTCACTGAAGTAAGTCGTACCCCATTTCAATTTCGTACCCTTTGATCTTTTGAGTGTCTGAACATTATCTGGTATTTAGCTGCTCGGATTTGTTTACTCATTGTGGATGTTTGCAGTTGATTGGTAAAACGCCGTTGGTGTATCTCAACCGTGTGGTAGATGGCTGTGTAGCGAAGATTGCTGCGAAGCTGGAGATGATGGAACCATGCTCTAGTGTCAAAGATAGGTACTAACTAGTTCTGATCCGAATATCTATCAGTTGCACACTCTGCCCAAACAGGAACCACCGATTTACAAATATACTAGCATGTGCTTTCTTTAGTCTGATTGTTCTGAAGTTGGACTTGGATGAAAACTTATGATTTTGTTTCTAATAAATTCGATTGTTCATTGTAGGATCGGATATAGTATGATTCAAGATGCCGAGGAGAAAGGTCTCATTACGCCAGGCGAGGTTGGCATTCATTTCATACTTATCTAGACAAGTGAAATGGGTTTGAATCCATGTGGTGCCTTTGAAACCTTTATAGAAATATCTGTTTATTAATCGTTATTCGATTTCATAGTTTAAGACCTTTTCTGCATACAGTCGGTTCCTATGAAGTCCACTATTCAGTCAACAACTTGGTTTAGATATCAATCAATCTTGTGAAATTCCTGTGTGTTTTGACTTGTGCTGTTCTTCCTGTCTCTCTCTCTTTCTCTGTGCGTAATAACTATTATAATGATCGTTGATTTTCTCTACATTTTCACAGCCAAGTAGTGTTCCATGTTCGGTTTCTGTAGTTAGTGTGGTAAATGAGAAACTTTTGATTTGACAAGTTCTTGTATCATGTTGTAGAGTGTCCTGGTTGAGCCTACAAGTGGCAATACTGGCATAGGATTGGCATTTATGGCAGCTGCTAAGGGTTACAAACTAATAATCACCATGCCTGCTTCAATGAGTCTTGAAAGACGAACCATTCTTCTAGGATTTGGGGCTGAACTTGTCCTCACAGATCCAGCCAGAGGCATGAAAGGGGCTGTTCAGAAGGCTGAAGAGATAGTGGCAAAGACACCCAATGCTTATATGCTTCAGCAATTCGAAAACCCTGCGAACCCAAAGGTGAAAGTTCATATCATTTTTTGTTAATTTATGACTTTCTGTCCTAATAGATTTTGATCAAAAGTTTTTTCCTTTCTCTTTAGGTGCATTATGAAACTACTGGACCAGAAGTCTGGAAAGGCTCTGGTGGTAAAGTTGATGCCTTTGTGTCCGGGATAGGGACAGGAGGTACGATAACAGGTGTTGGGAAGTACCTCAAAGAACAGAATCCGGACATTAAGGTTGGCCCTTTCTTTGCACATTATAATCTAGAGGGTAGCAATTGTTCAATTTTTAAGTGATGTTTATTATTCTTATGTCATATTTCTCATATTTCTAACCGCCCACTTGCTCCCTTGCCTTTCGTATGTCTAGATCTATGGTGTAGAACCAGTTGAAAGCGCTGTTTTATCAGGAGGGAAACCCGGTGAGTCATGATGGCCTTCTTGTCACAATCACTAAGTGTTTAATTATAAAATGTTGTGCCTTTTGATTTGGGCTACAGGCTCTTAAACTTCATTTTGCTTTGAAAAAGTGCGCTTTTTCTTCTCATATTGTCCTTTGCTTAATTTAATGATGGGTTAACTTATATCTTAGGCCCTCACAAGATTCAAGGAATTGGTGCTGGCTTCATCCCTGGAGTTTTAGATGTCAACGTGATGGATGAAGTTATTCAAGTGAGCCTTTAATCTTCCACTTGACATTATTCTTTCACTGAAACATGCGGTATTCTAGTTATTCTTTTTGTAATAATTAGTCTTTTTCAAGTGACTTTCTGGCTAATATAAGAAGTTGCATAAAATGGTAAAACATCGCGATTGAATTTGTGAAAGAAGCGATAAGTATGCTCATGAAAATTCTGGAAGGAGTTGAATAATCCTGGTTGCGAATACATTTTTTATTTCATTGTATGAATTCAATGATTATGCTCATGATGATAGCACTAAGGTACATGCTGTGCCACTTTTTTCATTAGTTTTATTTAATTGAAAACCTTTCTTCCGAGCTGCAAGTTTATATTGGAGAACCGGACTGAAATCCATCCTTCTATGGCTTTGCAGGTATCTAGTGAAGTGGCTATAGAAACTGCTAAGCTTCTTGCATTGACAGAAGGTTTGCTGGTAAGTCCACAACCATAAAGGAACTGTTTGAAGACGGACATCTCTTGGTTTCAGCATGATGTTTACAAGTGTCCTGAATTTTACAACAATCTCAGTGTTCTGGTTTACTTCAGTTGCTTCCGTTGTTCCATCTTCTATTATGATCTATGTTTAATTTGTATTGCAGGTTGGGATATCATCTGGTGCTGCTGCAGCAGCTGCAATCGAAATTGCAAAGAGGCCAGAGAATGCTGGAAAACTCATTGTTGTAAGTGTTACCTATTTACCGCACTAAATTTTCAACAATGTGTTGGCCTACTATAAAGCCTGGCACTATTCATTTTCAAACAATAGTTAGACGTTGGACTGTCATACTTGTTCTAGTGTGTTTTATAGTTATCTTTGATCTGTTTTTCACTGAATTGGTTGCAAACTTAAATTTCTACGTAGTTTGCGCAGATTGACAGGAACAGCACCTTCCCTATAGACTGAATCACTCACTAATAGGTCCAACTACTTTCGTTTCCAAAATGTCTGCAGGTGGTCTTCCCCAGCTTCGGAGAGCGTTATCTGTCCTCCGTGTTGTTTGAATCTGTGAAGCGGGAGGCTGAGAGCATGGTTTTTGAGCCCTGATAGCTTCTTCAAAAGGAGTTGTACACATTTCATGCTGTGCGAGGAAGAGCGCGCGATCATCAAGTTGCACTGTGTTTCCGCTTTGAGTGCTTTCGCTTCTTGACATGAGTGACCCAATAAAATGCTAAGAAGAATAATGTGATGGCTTTGCTGGTTGTAATGGAATTCAGAAAACAGTACTCGTATGGTTGACTAATTTAAGTGACTTTTCTGTTGTTTTCTCTTGCAAATGGTTGTCTGATTGCATCAAATGAAGAAAAATTAGCAGATTGTAGACGTTGGTTTGGGTTAGGCGGGCAGTGTGCCCGTCCTTTCGCATCAAAGTTTGAATTTCTTCTCCGTAATCGAAATTCAAATCTAAATCCTAGGATATAAGTTTGAATCTGATAAAAAAAAATTTGCCTAATACTAAATTGTGATATTTAAAATATTTTCAATGTGCTACAAGGAAGATGAGATTACGGTAACAACAATAAAATCTTATCCTACTAAGTGAGATTGGATGTATAAATCTTAGAACGCCACTGCGTTCAGTTTTGCCCCAAATCTTCCATTAACTCCAAGTACTCCATGTATTTTCTTATATTACTATCATATTTATTCATTACTTAAGCTCCACATTATCTACAGGTCACATACTACAATATCACTCAAATTTGTATTTTGACCAAAAAAAAAATCTCAAATTTATATATTCTTAGAAAAATAGGTTATTACATCTGAAATTTAATTACAAAATACTGGAATAGTGGAATGCGCAAGAGAATTAACAAGAACATGAATACAAGTTTCTTCACCACCAAGTCAAATTTAATCATTAAACCTCTCTTAATTTCTCTCGTCCTCTCGAATCTACCTAATTAAAACGTGTCTAAATCCACTTAATTCTTGATTAATTCAATAATTCCCCAAAGTTAATCAAGTATGGAACAATATTAATACATCTGTATTCACTGTTCATCATCACGACCGTCAATCTTGCATGTTCTTCGTTTCTTCGCATCAGATTCACCACCTTCCCTTTTCGAGCCTTTCTTCCTCGAACTTGGCACGTCGTCGTCGTCCACGTCATCAGGAACAAATCCAAGCAAGCTTCTTGGACTGCCGCCATGCTTCTTCTCGTCACTCTCGACTTTGCTAAGGTTTGAGGTAGCAGCACCAAGCTGATGAGGATTATTTTGGTTCAGAGATTTTGTCAACGCACTGTAAAGCCTTGCATTATTCTTTTCTTGGACGCCATTGACACTATTTTTGCATTCTTCCGACAACAAGAAGCTGTAGTCCCTCGCCTCCCTCACCTTCCGAAGCTTCTCCTGCAACTCTGCCGGAGTAAGCCCCAGGTTTTTGACATACGAGCGGAGATACTCTCTCTTCATGCGGCATTTGTACCTACGTTTGCTTCTTGGTCTTGTGGGCACGAGCAGGACTTTTGTGATTCGGCCGTCCTGGTGATGGTGAGTCCCACGCTTCTGCTCACAGGGATCAATGTAGTCCCGGCAAAGGTGATCAGTCCGATGATCACGGCGATCATGGTAGTCCCGATGATGGTGAGTCTCATGGCGACGGTAATGATCATTGCGAGTCCAACGGTCACACTCACAATCACGGTGGTGGTAGGAGGAGAAAACAATTTGGAAGGTTTTCATGGTGGGAATGTGAGTGAGTTGATGGAACTTGATCGGCTTAGAGCAAGCTAGTCCTTAGCTGTGGAGTTTTGGAAGTTGGGATTGTACGTAGTTGGTAGGGTTTGGATTCTAATTAGCGCTTTCTCCGATTGACATTCTTATATAGGAAAGGATAAAACATTTTCCTAGTCGTATTCAACTTAGGAATCCCGAAACAAATAGATTTCCTAATTTGTCTTGGATTACTATGATTTCCGATTTCCTAACCTAAAAGGAAACTTTTCAGATTAGTAACTCAGTTTAATAAAAAAAAGGGAAAAAAAAATAGAACAGATCTTGGCTGCTGAAAAATCAGCAACAGTTCCTACTACTAGCGAATCACAAATGGACATGTGTCCAAGTAATTGATCTTTTAATCATAGATTGAACACATGTTCATATAGGATTGGTCAACTGCAGGAGCTGTTGCTGATTTTTTAGCAACCAAGTTCTGTCCAAAAAAAAAAAGATAAGAAACAAAAAATGGGTATTTAATTAATTATTGTGGTCCGTGGTCACATCCTACTTAGGCTTTTCTTTTGGTGCTAATGAGACTTATTGGCAATTATTTTCAAAGAAGACAAACGATCTTGGTTGATTGGAGGATAAGAAATGATTTCTACACATTATTTTTTAGTTTTGTATATCTCATTCTTTTTAACTATTGATTTGAACAAAGGGCTAGAATGAGAAGACAATGTTGAGAAGGTGAGAAAGTGGGAACAAATCACTCCCCTTCGCGAATATCACAAAATTCATAAAGTTGTTCGTTCCTATCTTATTGGGTGAAAAAAAAAAAATGAGCTCAATTTTTACTATCCCAAGTGTTTATGTTATAAATCACTTTATTCTCTAAGGCTCATTTAAGACTGCTTTTGTATAAAGTACTTATGCTTACAAGCGATTGTGTTAAAATTCTTTTGTTGTAAATATGTGAAAAACATTAAAGTTAGCTTTCGATTCCCTCTAAACTTGTACTTAGATTTTGATTTCCGCTTAGAAATTTCTTTTAGAAAATTAAGGATTCTAACTTTTCTTTTTAGCCAATTTCCTTCCTACCATCTATGTTCTCCACATTTCATCCAAATCTCGGTAAAAATCTAGTTAATAATTAAGGGCATGTTTGATACTCTACTTGAATCCAGCTTTTTAAACTCAAAAACAATTTTCAAATTTTAGGCCTTAAAAACCGTTTGGTATGACTATTTTAAAAAACTGAACTTAATACTAACTCAAAAATATAGTTTATTCCCTAAAAACATAAAAAGTGAGTTTTTAGAGTTTTTAAATTTAAACTCACTTATTTCTTTTCTCTCCCTCCTCCCCTCTCACTCCAAATCTATCTCTCTCTCTTTTCTTCTTTATCTCTCCTCTTTTTTTTTACCATTTTCGTCTCACCTCCAATCCGCTCTCTTCATTCTCTTAGTTATTTCTCTCATTCTTCCTTTCTATCTCGTCCGATCCTCTTTCTCTTTTTTCTCTTTCCTTCAATCATCTCTTACTTTATTTGCCTTCTCTCTCATTTTTCTACCTCTCCTGCGACCTACCCTTTTTACATCTCTTTGTCTAGTCATAAGATTTAAAAATTTTAAATTGCAAACCAATCAAGTTTTTGAGTCTTAAAGAAAATTGATTTCAAGAAATGTTCTTAAGAAATGTTTTGAGAAATGATAAAAAAAAATTCAAATAAGATACCAAACAGGCCCTAAACGATCTTTACCATGAGAAATTATTGGTGAAAATTTTAATTGATTTTGTTAGGGGAAAAAAGTTGCTAGCTTCCTACTCCAAGTTCCAACCCAAGGGAAGAAAAGAAAGAAGAAAAGAAGCCAGTCGTAGTCTTGGCAAATTACTGTCATTATCCTTGGGTAAATAAAATTTAGTTTTCACATCTAAAATTTACAGTCTTGGGTGTTACACACTTGTTTTGGGTGCCATAAAATAAGAATCTTAATTCACTATACTTTCAATATAGTTTTGAGCCCTCTCTAAATTTTTTTATTTAATTCCCTAAACTTTCAATTTAGTTCTGAGCAACCACCGTCACAACCATCAATTTTGTCACAATCTTCCACTAATTTCATATTTAGGGTTAAATGCTAAACTGAAAAGAAAATTAATTAGTGAAATCGCTTTGAGAAAAAATTAAAGGGAGTTCTAATGAAACTCACTTTTAACAAATATAACATTTTTACTCTGAAAACTCACTCCTAATACTATTCACTTACAATATTTTTTTATCATTTTAATTGAAACTCATAACCTTTTTCTTTAATTTTCCTAAAATTACTAATTATAAATATTCTTGTGTAACAAATTTTGAAGGGTTACTACAAACCTAGTTCTTTGATACAAATTTAAAATATAAAGTAAATTTCCAATTGCTAAATATATTTCTGTTAACTCAGATTGATAGGGGCCGCGCGAACGCAGGCCCCCACGGCAACAAATTATGACGTTGGCTCTCCTACAGTGAGGAGACCATAGGCAAGCACCCCTACTAAGTGCAATGTCGGCCACCAACCTAGGCCATGAGCCTTCTAGATCGCCCATTGACCCCGTCCAGGTAAGTATGTTTCGACGGCCCTATCTCTTCTCATTTTATATTACGCACTTGCCTCTCCTTTTCCTTGCTGATCGGTGTGGGACTGTCAAATTACATTTGGCGTTGGTTTCCTTACCTTACAAAATACATGCGAAATTAAACATAATGCTCCACCACGTTATACTTGAAGTTTCACATTTGAATCGGGCAAACACATGGTTTTAAAACACTTCAAATATAGGTTTAACTTCAACCTATTTATATTGTAAATTGTTCTTTATATCATGCATAAAAAGTCTTCAACTCAAATGTTGGGATAGTATAGGAGCTCTTTCATGCCTTTTACTTACAAGCTGATTTTGTTGGTGAACAAGGCTTGCCTCCTGTAGATGACGAATCCGTTGAAATCCGCCTTTCGACTGCCTGCAAATACAATGGGGGACTGGTTTTGCAAATAAAAGAGCTAATGCGATAACTAGTTCATAAATTGTTTGAGCTTCCATAAAGGCCAAGGTTTGTTTAATCAATTTCTAAACCCTACCCTACATACCCATGGGCTTGTACCAATTGATAGAGTTGTTTAATCAATTTCTAGCCCCTTGGGTTTGATGATGGCAACTAAACTTCGATTCCTTGCTTATAACAAGTAACAACCTTGCTTTTTGTATGGGTCATGTCACTTCTAGACTCAAATGCATGTTCAAGATTGGGTGATTTAGATGTAAAACTCGTTTGGATGTGCTTTTAAAATAATTGAAAGCGCTTTTAGAGAAAATATTTTTGTGTTCCAAAAGCACTTAAAGTGCTTTTTCAGAATTAATTTGTATTTTTACTAATAATTGGTTCTAAAAATATTTTTACCAAAAACGTTTTGAGTCATTTTAAAAGTACATTCAAACGAGCTCGTAATTAGCAACTCTTGAGTATGGTTTTACATCTCAACTTTTGGCTAGAATCAACTGAATGAGCGATCTATAAATTGAATCAAAGTGATTAGTGTTATGTATGGGTATAGGATGATCTATATGCCAGAATATGAGTGGGCATAATATCGAGTTCTTGAATTAGGAGTGGGCATTTTAATGAGTCAACCTACTAACCCATATGAAAATGACTTTCCAAGTAAAATCCCGACCACCTCATTTAGTAGGTGGTCAAAATATTATTAACCCATCCATGTATAAAAAAAATTGTTGAACATACGTCTATATTTGATAGACAAACATATTAAATTAACTCTACTTGTGATTTTATGAATGATGAAATTTTAATATTAAATAGCATGTAAGGATTATACGACACAAAATCTACATGATTGAGGTCTAGTATAATATGGATCTTGAATATTGTCATGCATACATAAAATTAAGAAAAAAAGAAAATTAGGCCCAACGCATGAAACCAACCCGATTTAGGCGGGCTGGTTGCTCGTTGTTTGGGTGATGATGGGTTTCAACAATGCCAATCCAAACTTAATAGGTTGGTCAAATCCAACCCGAACTAAAATAAACGACGACCACCCCCGCCTTCAATAATGTCAAAAAGGTTTTGAAGAGACGAGTTCTACCCATGCCTCGTGTCACCATTCCCTAGTTGCTATGCAAGTTCAAGAATTCATGTTTGCTTGTCTAATTTTGTAGGGATCAACCGACTGATATACCCTACATCTTATAACTAAATTATTATTAACTGTAATTTCCTGTGAAATTTTTTGTTAATTAGCAATGTCAAATATTCAATACGATTTCACGAAGTTCAGTATCATCTAGAGCTTATTCGACAGAGAATTCAGTACTTGGTCGTGAATATTTGAATTGGACGAATGACCTGAGAAGAAGAAAAACGTCTTATTTATTTTGTTTAGTTATTCATTTAAACAATAAAATTTTAAGTTTCATATAACCGTATTAATTTATCCATAAACATCAACACTGTGACCCTTCATTTATACTCTATAAATACAAGTAAATACTCAACTGTGGAATAGAAATAAGGGAAATTCTGAAATAGAAATGGGCGGGGGCTGCGCGGACGCAAGCCCCCAAGGCAATAAATTATGACGTAGGCTCTCCCACTTGGGGAGACCTTAAGCAGGCACCCCTTCTAAGTGCAATGAAGGTCACCAACCTAGGCCATGAGCCTTCTTGATCGCTCATTGACCCCGTCCAGGTAAGTATGTTACAACGCTGCTGCTCGCTCCCTTTTATAGCCCTTACTCTGTTCCCTTACGTCTTCTAGCCGATGTGGGACTCCTGCGCATTCCATTTGACTCTCCTGATAAGTCCTATCCGTGATGAATGTGGGACATCGATTGTGCTTTATGCACACAACTTTCACGAGCTGAGAGACCCCATGGAAAATATAATATGGGGTATAAATTGAGTGAGAGCTCAATCCGTTTTGCTACCCACGATGAATTGAGTGCAAGACTTACCAGTTCAAACATAATATTGAAATATTGATATCATTTTTCCTTAAATATTCATGTTTGCACATGAGTGTGCCAATAATTGCACTGAAAAAGTTAAGACGTAAAATCACACAAGCATACAAGAAACATGAATATTTATGTGATTCATTTAACCCAACTAGAGTTTTAGGCAATCTCCGTGTCCACTTATTTTGTATTTTCATGTAGTGATTAGTGAGAGGAATGCATTTAGAAGAGATGTCATAATCATGTTTTTTTGTTTTTAAATTTTGTTTTTATCTTTCAGTAATTAATTATGTATATAGCCACACAAAGAATAGGAGTCACTACTATAATACCCTATGTATTTTTAGATGTATGATTTGGTTATTCATTTTTGTATGATTATGTGGAACTCGTTGGAAAACAAATAAGATGTTGGGTAATTTTGTCTTTTGTGATACCTTCGAGTTCAAGACACTTGGTGATAAATATTAAATTTTATTTAAATAATACTTATCGTAATGAATGCGTGGTCACAAATGGATGTGAATTCGGAATTAGAATGAGTAAGTTACAAATTTTAAAAGTTAGAGGACAAAATGGTAATTTTGGGAATGAATATTTTGGAAGCCAAAGGCTTCTCTTCTTTTTTCTTTCCCTGGAGGCAGATGCAGCAGGGAGGCTGCTGCGTTCTTCTTCCCCTCAATTCTTCTTCACTCCAAAAATGATAACTTTCTCATATGGCAATGAAATCACGCACGGTCGAAGGCTATGTATTCATAACGAAGCCCTCTTCAATTTGATACCAAAACCATATGCTGGAACCATGCGTGCTCATATATTGAAGCATAGAAGTTTCGATGGTTTTTGTGGGTTTTTCGCCGATTCTGGCCAACCTCGCTTAAGATGTGTCTCAACCCAAGAGAGAAAAATACTCTTCTTATCATGCACTTCCAGGATATGATTCGTGGTGATGAAGTTGATTTAAGATAGTAGTAGTGAAGTGGCAGATTGATGAATGACTTTGGAGGAGTTTGGAGGTGAGAACCCAAGAAACCCTATCATATTTTCTTTTTGGTTCTAATAGATGAGTTAATTTTTGTTAAGTTCTTAGTGTAAGTTGGATGAATTTGTGTGGATTTTTAAACTTGTAATTAAAGTGGCAAAGAATTGGTTTAAGTTGATGAGTAGGCTTGCCATGAGCCTCACCTTGGATTTTAGGTGATCTTTGGCTAATTTTATTCATGTTAGACTTGATGGAGGAATTATAAGACAATTGTGGAATCTGGTTATGTATATATAATTCTTTGTTGAGTATTAATTAAGTGTGACCGTTAAATAAAAACTAGACGGCAAAAACTAATTTGGAGTCAATTCTTCGAAGGAAGTGTTCCAATATCGCATGATTGTTAATTTTGGAAATTTGACAAGCAAATGGATTGAAACAGACCTAAGTGGGGTTTGTTCAAATTCTCTTACAGTTAGTAAACTACGAATGGCTTGATTCCGTTTGAGGATACGCAGGCAGTCTAACAAGAATGTTAGATGCAACCATAAAATGATCGAATTTGATTTATGTTGGTTAATAGAATATTGATTAACCATGATTTTATTTTGAGCTTACCACCGTGATTAGGTATTATTTATATTTAATTTTAAAATTTCAACTTTGAAATGATCTTTGATTATATTTAATTTTAAAATTATTTCTAACCGCATCACTAAGAAAGAAAATTCCAGCCAGATCCATTTTCCCTACGACTCACTTCATGTAAATTATTCTCCACAGACTAAGCAGCGAAAATAACCAAATAAATTTAAGAATAGAATTTTAGAGGGGCCGCGCGTACACAGCCCCACTACCACAAATTACGACGTACAGTCTCCTCTAGGGAGATGTTAGGCAAGTGCACCTCCAAAGTGCAATGGAGGCCACCCACCTAGGCCATGGGCCTTCTTGATCACCCATTCGACCCCGTCCAGGTATGTAAGTTCAAAGTGGCACGCCCCTTTATTATTTATACCCCCTCGCTTCCCTGCACTTTCAGTACTTGATCAATGTGGGACTGATCGACACAGCCACCAAAGCTTGCAAACGAGAATTTACTATTATTAGCCAAAAATCAAACCCATTAGATCAGCGTGAGCATCAACACTAAAGGCTGCAAACCAGAATGATCAGTCTCACCATTAAACTTAGATAGCTCCCCCTTCTACCCATGTTTTTAATTTTAAAAAAAAAACCTAGCATGTTGCATCCCAAATGTTATAAGAATCATGCACCAATAGTTAGAGTTTGGTTAAACTGGATTTAACTAACTTGGCTAGGTCACTGTTATTCTCTCAACTTCGAACAATCCGTTTTCGCAGTTTAGATTAGTTTAATTAAAATATTGTTCAAATAAAGAAATAGTCCTGCAATTACCAAAAATGACAATTATTCCATATTACCACCGAAGGGAAAACCCATAGATTAAAATCAAAACATATGAAAGCCATTGGGTACATTCATCATTTTATAGAAAAAATTATCAGTAATCTTAACGTATTTACAGAGAAGGAAACATGAGAGTGGTTGATTTCGTTGATCTACGTCTGGTACGGTCACTATTGAATTTGGCTTAGCTAATTCTATCTATGAGCTTAAGCAATGAACTTCTTCTTGGAGATTTAACAGCTGGGCCATTATTAGTAATTGTAACGTATTTACAAAGAATAAAAGCATGAAAGCGGTTAATTTTGTTGATTTACGTCTGATTGGTACCGTTACTATTGAATTTGGCTTATAACTAACTCTATCTACGAGCTTAGGCAATGGGCGTCTTGGAGTTGTAGCAGCTGGGCCAGCAAACTTATTTGTTTGTGAGCGATTTATGTACTTTGATTTCTAGTCCAGTGGGTACCTCTACCTCCTCCCCGATACAATTTGGAGGACCTTTAAAAAATTAGTAGAACGAATTGGACTTAGTAGTTCACATGCCTTTGTAATGGTTTCAAACGACAATTACCGCGTTCCACTAAAGTCCTAAATCCCATCCTAAGATATAGGGCATCAATGACAATGAACATAGTTTGGTTAAATAGGGAGAACTAGAAGACTTTTTAAGATACAATTTTTCGAGGAAAAGATAAAAGGGGTAAATATCATTAGATTGATAATCTAAGGAGTCAGAACTTTATATTGGGCAGGGGCTGCGCGAACGCAAGCCCCCACAGCAACAAATTATGACATTGACTCTCCTACGTTGAGGAGATCATAGGCAGGCACCCCTTCAGAGTGCAATGAAGGTCACCAGCCCAGGCCATGAGCCTTCATGATCGCCCATAGACCCTGTCCAGGTAAGTACGTTATACTGAGCTCGTCCTTTACTTTTATACCCATCCCGCCTGACTTCTTTGACCTTAATTGGTCGATGTGGGACATGCTTAATAATGGCAGCAGTAATGCAAAAAAGTAGTTCGAAGGTTTTTTTTAAAGAATTTTACAGAAAAGCGTTCGGTACTGTTTATTTTAACTAAAAATTATATTTTTACATTAAAAAATCAATCCTGGTACTATTTACTTTACCCTTTATTTTGTCCTTATAATTAAAACTTAAAAAGTTCAAACATTTTTCATTAATTTTCCTTTTTTTTAATGTACTTTGGAAAGTTAACGGATTGTTAGACGAATATTAAATGGGGGTAGTGGCAAAGCAACGAAAGCACAAGGGAGGAACCGCCCCTATGGTTCGTTTGAGCTTGCCGAAAAATTTAGTTATGCAGCCTGTGCTGAGCTTGCTGGAAAGTTGGCTGGGGAGAGCCTCGATTGACTCCATGGTCATTTAGAAGAGCCTCGATTTTACTTTAACGTTGGTTATTTTATTTTTTTTATTATATACATAAAAGAAGGACAATTAATGGCAAGTCATAGTTATTTTAATGAAACATTGAGGATAGATATGTACTGAGAGAAAGGATCCTCGTCGGATTCTTTTTGTGAGGATCCCGGGGATCCTCCAATCACATCCGTTCATCGCACATCGTGCGGTCAGTTTTTGTCAGGTATTGTTTATATTCAATTTTAAATAAAAAAATTTACAATGATTTTTGACAGCACGATGTACGATGAACGGATGTGATTGGAGGATCCACAAATCCTCACAAAGAGGATATGGCGAGGATCCTCCTGGATGTACTGATATCCCTTTCCTTATCTTTTAAAACCTGGATTTGGATCCTCTACAGAGCCCAATGACAGGATCCTCCTGACCAACATATATGGGCCGTTGGATTTTTATCCAACGACTATAAACAGGGGGAGTTCTTTTAAAGTTATAATAATTATAGCCTTTGTTGATTAGGAGAATCCTCTCCGGACTTGTGTTGGTGAAGATGATCCTCTTCATGGGCTCCGAAGAGGATCCAAATCCTTAAAACCCCACCTCACCTGTCCCACGAATACAACAACCAAAACATCTATTTCCATATATGTAATCATTATATATAAAAGAACCAAAGCATCTATCTATTTCCATCTATTTCCGTATATTTTGACATTCTGCAATATATATTTATATAACATTATTGTACATTAATGCATATACATTATTGTGCATTAATGTATATTTTTGTTAACGTATCCATGCCGACTTATATCCTAATTTTTAGAAAATAGTTGCATCGTCATATTTGTGTTCCTATCCATGCCACATAGTTACTATCTAAAACGATTTTGTTGTCTTTATTTTTTCAGAACTTTTTACGTCTTTAAATTTTGCCACCGAGATGATTTCCGGCTTGGCCACTAAGAGGGGTGATTGGAAATTTAGGAATGTACTCATTTATGAAATATAGTTTAACATAGTAGTCGGTTTCTTATGTATGCAATTAGAGCAAGTCCAGCCCGGCACCAAGTGAAGAAAATGGCCCGGCACGCAGTGAATGAGCTCCAGCCCGCAAAAGTGACTAGCACCCAGCCCGTGCCAGTCAAGAGCCCAGCCCAAAATGGACAGACCCAGAGGCCGGTCCGTTTCTTGGCTCGTGCACAACACGCGCTCCGCCTCGCGAGTATCCGACAGCGTCTGCAGGCAGTGGGGCCCGCGTGCAGGGCAAGTGGACTCAGTCTGTCAAAGGGCTACGTGGCCCTCCTCAGAGCCGTTGGATTTCCAACGGCTAGTTTTTGTAGGCCGTTGGATTTCCAACGGTAAAAAAAAATTTAAATTTCACTTTTAAATTGGACCGTCCGATCACAGATCAACGGTCCACGTGTTTTTCACCAAAAATTAAAAAAAAAAAAAAAAAAAGGCCCAACGGTCAGAAATTTGACCGTTGGCCACGTGGCAGCGTGTTGGCTGTTGGATTTGATTATTTTTCAAATCCAACGGTCCAGATTAATTACAACATTAAAATTTATTAAAAATTAATTAAAAAATGTCAAAATTTTTTTAAAAAATACAGAAAAATTTTAAAAAATTAATTTTTTTTTTCTATAAATACCTAACCCTCATCTTCCACCTTACACCACATTTCAATATTTTCTACACTTTCTACACTACTATTATTTTTTTTTATTATTTTATAAAAAAATTATTTAATATTTTAAATGGACTGGGTGCCAGCGCATTTTGTAGGGGTGGAGATCGTTTGTGCTAGCGCATTTTTAGACTAGGTGCCAGCATATTTTTTTTGGGGTGGAGATGCCTTGGCCTATTACTGTTCATTGGGTCTATTACTGTTCAATTAAATGGATAAATGGGCTGGGTGCTGGCGCAAAGTGGATAGGGGTGGAGTTGCTCTTAGGATTAAAGAAATGTGGAAGGGTCTAACTCTAGACTAGGTTGTTGATTATTTGAAACCAAAAGTGTATTTTATTGTTTGGAAATGAAATTTGAATATTTTATCCGCCACCTCAGTTCTTATGTCAAGAGTTTTGACATCTTTGGGAGAACATAGTGTTGGTTTATTTAATTTTCCCAACACATAGTTTTAATGGCATTTGGTATATGCTTATGTCAATTATGTGCAGTTGATTAAGTTCATTAAATTTTAGTATAACCTTGCTAAAACCTAATCATAAATGCACTTTGGATGTAAGAGTAATGATGTGATACTTTCTAATAGCCCGTTTACTAATTCATAATCAACATGAGAGGAATTGAACTAAAAATGAGTTAGAATGGTGTGGAATTAGAATCAAATTCCTGTTGAAATTCTTTACTGTTTTCATGGCCACAACTAGAGTTGGTGGAAACACAGAATAATGAAAACGAAAAACCCTTACTTGATGGTTGGAAAGCTCTCACAGGAAGAGAGAAAGCCTCGAGCATTGGAAGTCTACCCATCTAATTTGAATTAGATTGATGTGGAATCAAAATCAAATCATGTTAAAATTGTTTACTGTTTTCATGGCCACAACTAGAGCCAGCGGTACCGCATATCTTTGTCAGTAGTGTATTACACTCTACAATTTGCAAGCATTAGTGTTTTTGTCAGCACGTGCTCCCCTGGACCACACACTCTAATTTGGGCTTGTCACATTCGATTTTCCCTAAATGAAAATTCTTTGTGACTTTCAAGATTAAAATACACCTACAGAGGAAGAAATGTTCCATCGAAAAAGAACAAGGACAACCTTCGTGTTTGACTGAAACTTAACAAACAAACGAATAAATAAGTATATAAATAAACGCAGAAGTGCCATGGAAGTGCAAGGAGCCAAATTCCAGAAAATAACAATACAATTTTCTTTCTTTCTTCCATATCTCTGCCTGCAAAAGATAAGGTTGGCCTTTATTTCGAGTTTCAAATGATTTATTAATATTTAATGACATAATTGAATTGTTCATTGCTTATTAGCATTTGGGTACAAAATATATTGCTTGAAATCTTGAAAATCTGCTGCTAAATATTGGACAAATTCCAGAATTATTATTCTGTTCTTTTTGCTCTGTTTATGGTAGTTAACTGATTTTTTTTTAATAATTATTGGTTCTTCAAAATTTAGGTTGGGAGCTTTTGGTGTTCTTCTGTGTAAACATTCTTGTTAAATACTTGATATTTTTGTTTGTTCTCTATTTATTTCTTTTGTTGAACGTTTGAATCTGTTTTCCCTTCTTTCACAGCTTGCTGCAACACAAGATAAATATGGAAGTCAAATTTGCAATCAAGAACAATGTCACCGAAGTAAGATTTCTCTTCATAAAAGTCAAGCATTCAACTTTAATTTGTTTTTATACTTTGATTTGGCTTACGATGTGCTCTTGTTGTACTCTTGGTTCTTGCAGCTGGTTGGAAACACCCCGTTGGTATATCTCAACAATGTCGTGGATGGTTGTGTAGCACGAATCGCTGCCAAGCTAGAGTCAATGGAGCCCTGCTCAAGTGTAAAAGACAGGCATAGTCTTTGCACTTTTTCCTTGGGAATATTGATTTTCGTTTTCCTAGTACGACAGCAAATCAAAACTCAAGATTGATATACGCGTTTGATCTTAAATTTGTATATGCAGGATTGCATATAGTATGATCAAGGACGCGGAGGATAAGGGTCTAATTACGCCAGGGAAGGTTAGCTATTAATCTTTTCCATATCTGTAGATGTTTTTTCCGCATGTAATGGAGATTTTACAAGTTTAATCATCGTTCAATATGGTTAATACTTATAAGGAATGAGCCTCGCTCCACCCCCACCCCGCCTTTGTTCTTACTGCTGTGGCTGATCACTTTTCTCTGTATCCAAAATATTTTCAAGTAGAATTCCGCTAATAAAATCTATACATAAATTTTCTCTTTTGTTTCTGTTCTTTTGAGGATAACAAGTTTGACCATGTAAGGGAGTTTCCACTTATATGATCGAGAATGTGGTGTGGCGTGGCGTGTTTCATGTTTCAACGAACTAACTTCCCTTGGTTCTTAATATGCATGATCTTCGGGAACTGAAGACTGTTCTCATTGAGGCCACGAGTGGCAACACCGGCATTGGATTGGCATTCATTGCAGCAAGCAGGGGCTACAAGGTTAAGCTGACCATGCCATCTTCAATGAGTATTGAGAGAAGAATTGTGCTCCTAGCTTTTGGGGCTGAGGTGTACCTCACAGATCCTGCCAAGGGTATTAAGGGAGCTTTTGATAAAGCCGAGGAGTTATTGAGTAACACGCCTGATGGTTATATACTTGGCCAATTTGAAAATCCTGCCAATCCAAAGGTAACTTTTGGAGTAACTGTGACATGTCTAGATGGTTGAGAGAGTTTATGAATCGTTATATGACTGTTGGTGTAGATTCATTATGAAACCACTGGCCCGGAGATATGGAGAGACACAGGAGGGAAGGTTGATGCCCTCGTTTCGGGAATAGGGACTGGGGGTACAGTTGCCGGTGCAGGGACATTCCTTAAAGAGCAGAATCCAGAGATTAAGGTTGAGTTTTGTATGTTTGCATTATATATACGGATATTGCACGAGTATGTGAGGAGAAAAGTTATCAATGAGCATTTTCTTTTGTCTAGGTGTACGGTGTAGAACCAGCCGAAAGCCCAGTCTTGAACGGTGGCCAAGCTGGTGAGTTACTATAATGCTGGCGTTTTCCTCGGCTCTGGTTCTCTGCACTATTGCTTTCTTTGCTCGTGAAATTCTTTTTCTTGTAGAACATATTACAACAGAACATGAAGAAGATGCTAGGTTTTTCGGATATCTTTTTGTCTTGCAGAATAGAGCAAAATATGAGAAATGTTTCTTCGTCGTTAGAATGTTAAACAATTTACGTAGTGTTACATTATAGTTTGATTCGTTTAAGTGGCCCATCTGTGGTTAAGTTTCTATAGTATTTGAGATTTCGTCCTCCTATATCGACTGATGCATATGTGGATTTGTAATATTCTCGCTTGTGTCAAAGGGAAGCATCTGATCCAAGGAATCGGTGCTGGTATCATACCTGCAGTTCTGGACGTTAGCGTGCTCGATGAAGTTATTCAAGTTAGCATTCAACTAATTTTATTGCATTTCCAGTTCTATAAGTTCTTGTTTCATTTTGGTGCCAACAACTCTAACACAAGCACGAATTTCTCACTAACAACTGCTGATGTTTATGTAACATTTTAGGTAACGAGTGAGGAAGCAATTGACACCGCGAAGCAGCTTGCTCTGAAAGAAGGTCTTCTGGTATGGTATCAATTAGTTGGCATCGCTTTCACTTTCGTGTCAGTGCAAGGAGTTTGTTACTCTCCATTAGTTTCTTAGACGAGAAATTTGAGACTCCTCCTGTTGCACGCATTCATCATTTTTCCATTTACGAGGCTGATTGTGAGAGCAAATTAACATTGCAGGTGGGGATTTCATCTGGTGCTGCGGCCACTGCTGCAATAAAGTTGGCTAAGAGGCCGGAATATGCTGGAAAACTCATTGTTGTAAGTCTGATTTTGCACTGACCCCTTAGCTTATACGATTTCTTCGCTTAAACTTGACTTGGAATTGTAAATTCGTAATCAAATGCAATTCTTTCAGACAGACACTCCAGGAACTTATTCCATTTATTTGTTACTTGTGCAGGCTGTGTTCCCCAGTTTTGGAGAGCGTTATCTGTCTTCTGCACTCTTTGATTCCGTTAGGCATGAGGCGGAAAACTTGAGTATTTGCTGAAAGTGTTGCTGAATCGGCCTTTTCTTAGTTTCCTAGCTCCTTCAAATAACACGAAAACTTTGCTCCAGTTTGTACTGAAAATATTTATGGGACCTTGTATATGATTATTACGACCTTTTACCGATGAACTAATAAATTCTGGTTGATGACTATCTTCTTGATAGCATCAGTAGACATCCATGTACCATATGATTCAAGGGGAATGAGCTATGGTAGCTTACGAGCGAAACAAAGGCTCAAGCGCTGTGTTACAACATCCGATTCTTATATCGTCTTTTCGATTTGTGTTAGTTCTGGATTGAACTAACTTGGCTACATCACTGTTATTCTCTCCTTTGTATTCAACTTCAAATAATCTGCTTTCGCAGTTTAGAAATAGTCCTGCAATTACAAAAAAAATGACAATTATTCAATATTACCACCAACTGAGAAAACTCATAGATTAAAATCAAAACATACGAAAGCCATTGGGTACATTTATCATTTTAAAGAAAAAATTATCAGTAATCTTAACGTATTTACACAAAAGGAAAGAGCGGTTGATTTCGTCAATCTACGTCTGATTGGTATGGTCACTATTGAATTTGACTTAGCTAACTCTATCTACGAGCTTAAGCAATGGACTTCTTCTTGGAGATTTAGCAGCTGGGCCATTATAAATAATAAATAATTGTAACGTACTTACAAATAAGGAAAAATGACAGTAGTTGATTTTGTTGATTTACTTCTTATTGATACGGTCACTAATGAATTTGGCCTAGCTAACTTTATCTACGAGCTTAAGCAATGGACTTCTTCTTGGAGATTTATCAGTCTAAGCAAGAGACAATATACGTTATTGATTATTTTTTTATTTAAAGGTCATTATCAGTAATCGTAACGCATTTACAAAGAAAAACACATGAGAGCAGTTGATTTTGTTGATTTACATTTGATTGGTACGATTACCATTGAATTTGACTAAGCTAACTCTATCGACGAGCTTAGACAATGGACGTCTTGGAATTGTAGCAGCTGGGCCAGCAAACATATTTGTTTGTGGGCGATTTATGTACTTTAATTACTAGTCTAGAGTACCTCCTCCCCGATACAATTTGGAGGACTTCTAAAAAAATTAGGAGAACGAATTGGACTTATGGCTTTGTAATGGTTTCAAACGCCATATTGACAAAATTACCGATTTCCACTTAAGTCCTAAATCCCATCTCCACCTAGCATATACATATAGGGCATCAATGACAACGACTATAATTTGATTAAAAAGAGAAAACTGAATTTGGACTTTTAAGATTCAATTTGAGGAAAATAAACAGGATGAAATTTCGTCAGATAGATATTTTAAGGAGTTACACTTTAGATTGGGCAGGGGCTGCGCGAACGCAAGCCCCCACGGCAACAAATTATGACATTGACTCTCCTACGTTGAGGAGATCATAGACTGGCACCCCGACAGAGTGCAATGAAGGTCACCAGCCCAGGCCATGAGCCTTCTTGATCGCCCATAGACCCTGTCCAGGTAAGTACTTAATACAGAGATCGTCGTTTATTTTTATACCCATCCCGCCTGACTTCTTTGACCTTAATTGGTCGATGTGGGACATGCTTACTAATGGCAGCAGTTATACAAAAAGGTAGTTCGATGGTTTTTTTTAAAGTACTTTGGAAAGTTAGTGGATTGTTAGACGAATTATTGGGCGGGGGCAGTGGCAAAGCAACGAAAGCACAAGGGAGGAACCGCCCCTCTAGTTCGTCTGAGCTTGTCGAAAAATTTAGTTATGCAGCCTGCGCTGAGCTTGTCGGAAAGTTGGCTGGGGAGAGCCTCGGTTGACTCCATGGTCGTCTGGGAGAGCCTCGATTTTACTTCAACATTGTTGTTTTTTTTTTTTTTTAATATAAAATGAGAATAGTTGGTGGCAAGCCATGTATATAACATTATTGTACATCAATGCATATTTTTATTAACGTATCCATACCGTCCTATATCCTAATTTTTAGAAAATAGTTGTATCGTCATATTTGTGTCCCTATTCATGCTACATAGTTACTATCTAAAAGGATTTGGTTATCTATATTTTTCCGGAACCTTTTAACCTTTTAAATTTTGCCTCCCAGACGATTTCTGGCTTCGCCATTAAGGAGGGTGAATGGAAATTTAGGAATGTACTTATTTATGAAATATAGTTTAACATAGTAGTCGGTTTCTTATGTATGCAATTAGGATTGAAGAAATGTGGAAGGGTCTAACTCTAGACTATAGTGGTTGTTGATTATTTGAAACCAAAAGTGTATTTTATTGTTTTGGAAATGAAATTTGAATATATTATCCGCCACCTCAGTTCTTATGCCAAGAGTTTTGACATCTTTGGGAGAACATGGTGTTGGTTCATTTAATTTTCCCAACACATAGTTTTAGATCTCGTTTGTATGTTCTTTTAAAATTATTGAAAGCATTTTTAGTGAAAATATTTTTGAAAACAATACGCAGTAAAAATGTAAGTAAATCTTGAAAAAACACTTAAAGTGTTTCCTAGGGTAATCATATAACTGGTGCTTCTTGTAGAAAGTATTTAAAATGCTTTTGGAACCCAAACATTTGTTATATGCTTATGCCGATTATGTGTAGTTGATTAAGTTCATTAAATTTTAGTATAACCTTGCTAAACCCTAATCATAAGTGTACTTTGGATGTAAGAGTAATGACGTGATACTTTCTAATAGTCCGTTTACTAATTCGTAATCAACATGAGAAGAATTGAACTGAAAATGAGTTAGATTGGTATGAAATCAGAATCACATTCATGTTGAAATTGTTTGCTATTTTCATGATCACAACTAGAGCTGACGGAAACATGAAATGATGAAAACGAAAAACACTCACTTGAGGATGAGAAAGCTCTAACAGGAGGATAGAAAATCTCGAGAATTGGAAGTCTACCCATCTAATTTGACCGTATCTAATTTGACAGTAGTGTATTGAACTCTACAATTTGCAAAGCATTAGTGTTTTTCTCGGCACGTGCTCCCCTGGACCACACACTCTAATTTGGGCTTATCACATAGGTTTTTTCTATCCTTGTCAACATGACAAGTTTTTGTCCCTTCAAGCTGCCCTGGTAACCTTTTTTCCTTCCACTTTCTTCTTTTCCCTTTGTACTTTGTTCAAATTTTCCATTGTTTCACACTCTTGGATCAAATTATCTAGCGAATAAGAGAATTGTAGTTTAATTGATTAACACGCGTTACACATGCACTTCCTCCCAAGTTGACCTGGTGATTTTCTCCTTTTACTTCTTCTGCTCGCCTTCATTTTTCGCTCTCGTTTCGTGTTAGAGACCAACTTAAAAAATACTTAACAAATAAGAAACTTGTAGCTCAAACAATTAACAATTATCAATTATCAATTATATACTTGAAATCTGACGTTCGATTTTCGCTAAATGAAAATTGTTTGTCACTTTCAAAATTAAAATATACCTACAGAGGAAGAAATGTTCCATAAAACGAAACAGAACAAGGACAACTGGACAACCTTCAAGTTTGACTGAAACTTAACAAACAAACGAATAAATAAATAAACGCAGAAGTGCCTTTATGGTAGTGCAAGGAACCATTTTCCAGAAAATTACAATACAATTTTCTTTCTTTCTTCCATATAGCTGCCTGCAAAAGATAAGGTTGGTCTTTATTTCTTTATTAATATTTACTGACATATTTGAATTGTTCATTGCTTATTAGCATTAGGGTGCAAAAAAATATTGCTTGAAATCTTGAAAATCTGCTGCTAAATATTGGACAAATTCCAGAATTATCATTCTGTTCTTTTTGCTCTGTTTATGGTAATCAACTGATTTTTTTCCATAATTTTTTTTTAATAATGATTGCTTCTTCAAAATTTAGTTTGGGAGCTTTTGGTGTTCTTCTGTGTAAACATTCTTGTTAAATACTTGATATTTTTGTTTGTCCTCTATTTGGGGTCTTCTGGTTTTGATTCTGTTGACTATTTCTGGGCTTTTGCAATATTTTGCTCCTATATTTTTCAAGCGATTTTCTAAGAGGATGAAACGATTAAGCGTTTCGGGTTTTCTGGTTGCTTCTGTTTTGTTGAACGTTTGCATCTGTTTTCCCTTCTTTCACAGCTTGCTGCAACAGAAGATAAATATGGAAGTCAAATTTGCAATCAAGAACGATGTCACCGAAGTAAGATTTCTCTTCACGAAAGTCAAGCATTCGATTTTGATTTTGATTTGTCTTTAGTTTTCCTTTGTTTTTAAGGACCTTTTACGAAAAGCTTCAGATACTGTTCACTTTAACGAAAAACCACATTTTTACGCTAAAAAGTCAATCATGGTACTATTTACGTTACCTTTATTTTGTTATTTCCGTTAAAAGTCAAAGTTTTCAAGCTATTTTCATTAGTTTTTATATGTTGCTTTGGCTTACGATGCGCTCTCGTTGTACTCTTGGTTCTTGCAGCTGATTGGAAACACCCCGTTGGTATATCTCAACAATGTCGTGGATGGTTGCGTAGCACGAATTGCTGCCAAGCTAGAGTCAATGGAGCCCTGCTCAAGTGTAAAAGACAGGCATATTCTTTGCACTTTTTCCTTGGGAATATTGATTTTCGTTTTCCTAGTATCAAAACTCAAGATTGATATACGCGTTTGATCTTAAATTTGTATATGCAGGATTGCATATAGTATGATCAAGGACGCGGAGGATAAGGGTCTAATTACGCCGGGGAAGGTTAGCTATAAATCTTTTCCATATCTGTAGATGTTTTTTCAGCATGTAATGGAGATTTTACAAGTTTAATCATCGTTCCATACGGTTAATACTTATAAGGAATGAGCCTCGCTCCACCCCACCCCGCCATTGTTCTTTCTGCTGTGGTTGGATCACTTTTCTCTGTATCCAAAATATTTTCAAGTAGAATTCCGCTAACAAAATCTATACATAAATTTTCTCTTTTGTTTCTGTTCTTTTGAGGATAACAAGTTTGACTATGTAAGGGAGTTTACACTTATATGATCGAGAATGTGGTGTGGTGTGGCGTGTTTCATGTTTCAATGAACTAACTTCCCTTGGTTCTTAATATGCATGATCTTCGGGAACTGAAGACTGTTCTCATTGAGGCCACGAGTGGCAACACCGGCATTGGATTGGCATTCATTGCA